AAAAAAAAAGGAACAACCACAAAAAGAAAAGAGTACGCAAGACTTGGTGCTGAAAAGATAACTTAAGCTCTGGTTTCTGATGGCGGCGACTTTCTAATGCTCGAATTTCTATGTGATAGTTTCATTATATATTGGAATATCAATTGAGTAAAGAAAAATCATTGAAAGAGCTTCAGAAAAAATTTCTTGCAATTTTGGTGAAAATCACTTGTCATAAGTGTATGATTCGGGGAAATAACAGTGAGTTTAAAGTAACAACAAAGCACTTGCAAATACAAATTAATAAGTTAGGGAGACCTATGATAGTGCAAGTTCCCTGTGATTGGGATGCATAGCAGAGCGTATGATTCTAAGGCTAGACAAATGAATGGATAGTGGAGTCACAGATAAAAGGTGACTCTTTCACTGTAAAGTAACAAAAATTACTCCCTGATTCAGAGCCATGGTGTGAATAGATTGAGGGTGGTGGCAATTTGAACCATATATCAAGAAACCCCAAGCTCTGCATATTTTTAGCAGGTATGATAAAAAAGGGCAGTCCGGTGCACTAAGCTCCCGCTATCCGGGGAAGGATCGGACCACGAGGATTTATTGTACGCAGCCTTACCCTGCATTTCTGCAAGAGGCTGTTTCCACGGCTCGAACCCGTGACCTCCTGGTCACATGGCAACAACTTTACCTTAGCTAAGGTATGATGAATCACAATTTTATATGTATTTCTGATTATAGTAATAAATCTTAAAACACAAATACAATATGTGGTGGCACAAGAATTAAGAATCTCAAAATCTAACACTTGAAATTCTGGAAAACTACTAAAGTTTTGGCATGAACACTGCCACTTGATACTCAGTGTTTCTAGGTACGGGGGGAAGGCCATGTCAAAGCATCACTTTCCAAAGCAAGGTTGCAAGTAAATTTGTGCGTGAAATCGGCTTCTTGCTGATATTAAAGAAGACAAATAACAACTCTATGATAACAACAATGGTACGTTGGTCAGAAGGCAGACCATCGATGATCCCAATAGGGAAGAAAAACCATTTTACTTTCTAGTTAGTGGCCACGAGGAGTAAAGATCCCCAGTTCAGATAGATGTTCTAACACCAGGGAACTAAAATGGGAGTGTGTGGGGGTTAAGAAGGAGGTTGCATGAAGTGGACATGAGCGGGTGCACAGAAATAAGTAAATAGCAGTAGGAGTTCAAAGAGTAGCAGAGTAGCGCAAACTTGATGGCCTCCCATATATCCCTCTAAGACTAAAACATTCATGAATACACGTCCAATAACCAAGCAAAACAAACTCAATCAATTCGACATGGTGAAAAAATAACAATCACAGATCCTCTCATCTATCCAGCAATATGGACGGCCTAAGGTCAAAATCTACGAAACAAAGACTCGCAAAGTAAGAAGAGTACATAAATCTTTAGTTGAGGCAATCAGTAAGACTATTCATAGGACTGAACGGAATTTTGAACCCAACAAACAAGAAGAGAAGTGAATAAGAAAGAAAACATTCTCCAAATTGCTTTGGCCACACACCAGTATGTCAAATGAGATGAAATGGGAGCTCAGAGAACTGAGGGTCCCTTTGATAAGTACTAAAACTTATTTACTGATGCAACAGAAAAAGATTCTGAACTATGTTGGGATGATATGGAACAGTCATATTTTTTCAGAAAAAGATATGGAACAGTCATTATCTTCACCAACATATGGAAGATATCAACAGGAGACTACGATGAAACATGTACTATGTGAAAAAGCTCAGACAAGTTAAATAGATGGTACGGCTCTATAATTTACCACGTATCAAGAAAGAACAGTGTACTGAAGCTAAGTGACCCTTAGTTATGCCTTGTACTGTAATTACTTTTAACTTTATAAAGGAAATGACTAAAAGGAGGCAAGTCAGTTAATACACTGCAATAACCCAATTGTACACATCCAGAAATATAAAAGGGAATTGGAACAGACAAGTACCAACCTGATACTTCTCTATAGCTCTGCGGTCTTCGTCAATCAGCTGAGACTCCCGTTCTAACTTTCGAGCTATGTAATCTTTGGTAACAGAGAGGGTGAGGCACGGATTTTTGGCAAGTGTCTGAAGAACAACAATGGGAGGCAAAATATCATCCCTCTCAATGTAAGTCAAGATTTCTTTGACTTCTTTTGAGCAGTCTTCTCCAAGTTCACCAAAATACTTCAATAAATCTGCCCAAAGAGAAGAATCAC